CCCCCCCACCCCCCCCACCCCCCCCCCTTTCCTCTCTCTCTAAAGCCGCCCATCATAAAATCAGGAACCCCAAATATACAAACACCCTTTGAGGTTTCTCTGTCGGGCTGGTGACAAGTCCTTGTATCACTCCAGAACCCTTGCACGGTAGTCGACTACCCTCGACTCCGAGTTCCCATCACTGCTTGGATACAGCGAGAGCGCTGAAGAGGCGATTTCGGAAGTTCGGTTCATCTGCGTCGGAGGGCGGCGTGGTGGGGCCCACAAGCTTGGTGTCTATGGCGTTGCAAGAATCGCTATGAACTGTGGACGAGCCTTCGGTCCTTACTTCAGGATATGCCGATTGTGAAGCTGATGCAGCCGATAGGATGGCAGCGGCCGACTGGGGATGTACCTGCCTACTAGGTGCCTAGGTAGATATCTGCGGTACGGTGAATACGGACCTTCTTATAGTTGAGAGCCTCGGTGTCGGCGTCGAAGCGGTCTTCATTCTCGTACTTGTACAGCAGCTCTTCGAATATGAATTCCTTGTAAAGCCCGCTGGCCAGCCGGTTCTGTACCACATCTTTACAGTGGTTTACCGGCAGGTGCATGATGGCCCGGGCACCTAATTGGTGATGGATTTGCGAACAATATTGAAGTATGAAGAGATGAGAGCGGGGAACCGAGCCTCGAATGCCTTACTGAGAACAAGAATATTAAAGTTTTCCAGTCGGTACCTTGGTAAGTGTAGGCATGCAAAATCAACAAATATGACAAGAGCTGGTTTTCGAAAGACACCAAGTACGTACGTTCAAGTATAAAAGAACCCCAAGTCGGCTTGTCTTTGTCCTTCCACACCGGTGCGAGGTCGGGCATCCACAAAGATGGAAATTCGGATGCCAAGTTATTGCCCGGTGTGTCCCGCGGTATGGTGAAATCGAAGGTATCTTGCGCCCATTTAGCTGCACCATCGTCCTTGTCGATATGCTCAGTCTTGTTTTTTACTGGCGCAATACAGTGGTCCTACCAGCACGCCATGCGGTCGCTTGGGAACTTTTCGACATAGGGCGGGATCCAAAGACCGGACACCTCGCACCACAGCTGTTTGCGAGCTGTGTCGAAGTAGAACTCGCAAGCCATGGCACCAGTGATTGCTGGGACGCGATTAAAAATATTGCAAAACCCGCTAGCATTATACAAGTTACCTCGACAAACTTTCCTTCTCGAAACGACACTTTGTGCACCTGGCCAGCCGTGCAGCTCAGCCACTCCGTAAACCAGTTATCACAAGTGCTTTGTACCGCCGACAGTGTATGGGAAAGCAAGCAGTACCGCGTGCAGCGCGCCGTGATATGCGGCGACCTGCTAACCAGCCGGACGATGCAGCCAACGCATGTGTTATCAGCCTGCTACCGCTTTATTAGCGATCTTAGCAACGCGGTGCCACACGTCAACATTGTGCTTGGCAAAGCAACCCGAAAGAAGGGGGTGATAAAAGATTATAAACTTAATCTCTATCCAGAATTCGGAAGGGGAAGCGAGCCAATGCTCAACACATGGAAGACCGAATCGTTTACAATTACAAAAATGTTATTTAATGGTTGGTCCCTAAGATAGTAATACCCAGCTCACAACATGCTTTACGACGTTGACTGCATAGCCAAATGGAATATCTCAGTCTCATCGAAGTCAGATGGTTACAATGGGTACCAAGCCCTACCAACAAGGCCGAACAACTTTTACAGATAGCCTTTATCAGCCCTGGGGGCGGCACGCGGTGCTCTATGTTTGTTCTGAGTACCTCAATTGCAGTTGAAGAAGAACTGGAAAGAGGTGGGATTGAACGAGATGGAAGGCACACAGATTGTCAGGCGTTGCGGCCTGGACCACTGGAAGAAATTCATGTCCACTGGTGGTGGAATTCTCTGGGACTCCATCAGAAGACTCCAACGGCCAAGCTGCCCCCCGACTGCTGACCAGGGCTGAGTCTTGCATTGTCATCAGGGGCTCCCTCATTGGGACGATAAATTTAGAGACCTCCCATCGGTCATCGAGGGCACAGGAATGACCCCCTCGTCGACACTATGATCGCTTTCCTGCCAGACTTCACCCAATCAATGAGAGCATACTACCGCAGTGGGTGCAGCCCTGACAAGATGCCAGCCTGGGAAGATATCAAGGCGGAGATCGAGCGTTCTTCCGTCCAGGCAGCTCCGGCACGCCACCATCCGGACGTACTGGCATTGGAAAATAGCTGGCTCCTTGCTCTGATCCCTCCGAAAGAGACGACCAGGCGTCTCCTGCCCCCCATCAATGCCTGGGACCTGTACAAAGGTCCCACTTCCACCGAGAGATCGAGAAAGATTGACGAGATGGGTCGAGATTGGCTCGTGCAGGAACCTAAAGCCATCAAAAATGCTCGAGGAAACCCATGCAAGATCGATCGACGTCCCAAAAAGCGGAGGTTGTCCAATGCACCGCAAGAAGTCATCGATAAATGGTTTAAGGGTTTCCCCATTACCATCGGCAGCATTGCCGATACGGAAGAGAAAAATTCTCTAGTGCGTCGTCCATGTCACACATGGAAGGACGTCTGGGCAAACACCATCAACCTAGGACATCGAGATCACCAAGGCTGAGGCCGGGTACCCAGTGGTCCCTTCCTCCGGCAAAAGGAAACAGCTGGCAGGGTTATGCAAAGCCTGGCAGGTACCTACCTATTTAGCTAGGTAGGTCGCACTTGCCAAAGTCCCGCCTAGCTACCTAGCTCTTACCTGGCTGTCGGGTGCTTACCTGACCGGATAGTTCCTTCCTTGTTTGCGTGAATGGCCAGGCAATTTTTCAAGCACAAATCCATCCTGGTGGCCAGTGCTTGCTTTCCCTCGTCTTCCTCTTTTTCCAGGCCCGTTTTCCAGGCCCATTTTCCCCTTCTTCCTCCTCTTCTGCTTCCTAACACGCAGCACTTTTTGTTTGCTTGGTGAGTGTGCAAAGCCCGTTCTGAAGCCAGATCCCTTTGCCAGCTCGACAGAATCTGCTCACACCTTTAAAAACCATTTCAAGCATATCGCCAACAAGGATCGCCTGGCTGCCAGCATTCTAGCAGACGATTCGCTCTCCAGGTACATGGGACTGCCGCCGAAAAAGCCTTGCGACAAGCCCAAAGCTGCTTCCACATAAAGCCAAGATGTCACTTCCATGGCGCTTTTTGATAGAGGCCCCTGCTGACCTTTGCTTATCGCTGCCTTGTACCCTGCGGCCGTGGCGATATGAAAAGAAAGACATCAATTAATCGTTGACACACGGCACCGATACCTGGTGCAATGAGCAGCTCGAGGATGCCCCAGGGCAGGGGAGCCGCCGCCCCGACTGGCCGGCAGACCGGTCAAAGGCCCGGCGGCACCAGCGGCCCCGCATCGTCGGCGGCTGCGATGCCGCCAGCAACCGGCGAGTCGTTCCTCCAGGTGAGTCGCACGCACATGCGGGATGCAACGTAGTCTACTCCCATCTCCCCAACCATAAGCGAAGCAGCACCCATCAGAGAAAGCAAGCTGATCGCCTGGCACATCCCACCACAGCTACTCATGGTAGTCCCGGAAAGCGCGCCAGTCTTCGAGAATGAGGGCGGCGCCGCCGCCGACCCTTTGGCCAACCCCGACATCGAGGACAAGCTGGATTTGGTCAGAGGCAACTCGCGGGTTTCGGCCCACGTCCGACCTGGTGGGCTCGTGGCACTGGCCGCACCAACCAAGCCGCACATGAGGAAGGGCGTTGCTGCCCTGGTTCATATCCTCTCTCAAAACGACCCTGGTCTGCTGATCTACTACCCGGCGCACCTGATCCAAGTGCCTTCGACTGGCCGAGAGAGATTCCTCATCAAACGGGTCCGGCATGACATGGAGACCAAGGGCGGCGAGCGCATCTCAATCCCAAACCAAGATGGTGTCGCTCCGACGTACCGCTTCATCACCGATCGGCCCGCGCCTCAGCCCGAAGAGCCGGGTCTCCTCGAGACAGACACCGACCAGGACCAAGAATTCGAGTTTAGCATCTACACCGAGAAGTTCATGGGTCACCTAGACGAGGTTGTCAAGCGGCTGCGTGCAACTCCAGACGAGATGCGCATGCGAGTTCATTTGGGTGCCCTGCTGCAGTACCAGTACCCCAAGAAAATGGACCTCACGTCGGTATCGCAGTTCGACGCAATGATCAGAAACGTCATGCACAAGGCGATTTTCTACTACAACAAGGACATCGGCTTCTGCAACAGGGACATCGGCACTCAGCAATTTGCCTCCAAGATCCGGAAGGCCATCGAGGCCTCGCCCACCATCTTCTCACCCGCCGATAACCGCATCGACGCTCTTGACAAGGTCCCAACCGAGACCAGCATTGTTGTCTTCACCAATGATTGGCGTCTGGAGATGAAGTATCAGAAGTTCACGACCAGGACAGGTGGCCAGGAACAATTCCAACTTGTCCAGCCCACAGTCTTCCGGAGAGAGCACAAGAACAAGGAGAAGGCAATCATTTCGGTGAACCCAGATGGATCTTACGACTGGAGCCTGGAGATACTAGTCGAGGAGGGCTTGGAGGCCATGGCGGATTTCTTCCGAAACATGCACCGACATGTCAAGCTGCAGAAGGCACCCGACGGAAGTCTGGTTCCACGTCTCTCGCCACAAGTGGTGCAGGGTGCCAAGGTCACGGGCATCACCACCAAATCTGCTCGAACCTACCTGCTCGGCGATGCTTCCGCACCCTACCACGTCGAGTTGGCCACCTATAAAGACTGGAATCTTGTCACCGGCGCCTGCATATGGCAGTCGTGCGCCATGTCTCTCTACGCTGTGGACTGGGTTGACGTCCTCGACAAGCGCAACATCGCCTTCAACCCACGCGATTTTGGCCCGGGCCATACGGGACTGCTCCCTGTCGCCTATGAACAGCCGGTCCAGGAGGGAGGGGCACGATTACTGCGATTGATCAAGACACTCCAGGACTTCTTGGACAAGGTTCGGGCCGGTGGATTTGAGAAATCCGAAGGAGACGGAGGCGCTCCGGGGCCCGGCGGCGGCGCTCCTAAGCAGGCGGCAGGAAAGGGCATGAGCGAGAAGCCAGCTCGTAAGGCTTGAATATGAAACCTCAATGGCACATCAGAATACGGCCCGCAAGCCGAGGGAGTGGATTGGTCAAGGGAAAGGATCAAAGCCACAGGCGAATCAAAACCACAATGAGACATATGAGAAGGAATGGGGTTTCTTAGAGGGTTTGGCAGCGGTTGAATTTGTGGACTGTAGTGGTCTGCACGACTGGTCGCTTTCTAGTAGGAGAGGGCCGTTGAGTGCCTGGTTCGACTGCATTTTGAGCTACACTATAGACTTGATTCATTCTCAAGTGAATTAGGGCTATGTAGATGGTGTTGCAGCTGTCGCGAGCTTTTGGCGCAAGACTAGAGCAAGCTAGAGTCAGATTGGTGTTTACAACTAGTAGACAGACATAACCCGGTCCGCGATGGGATACGACAAGGTCGCCCGGAGAGAAATGAAAAGGCACCATACCTTCTTCGACCACACGCAAGTTGTTGGTTTTGCCCTGGATGATGGCCTCTAGGCCCTGGATATTGGTTCCTAGCTCTTTTGTTTTGGTCTCGTAGAACTCTGCTGCACTCTTGGCGTTCTGCGACCAAGAAACAAACGACACACATCTTGTTAGAATGGCTTGACTCAAGCAAGGGTTCGTGGGTAGGCAATATACCTTTTCAATATAGAAACCTGTGCCGACGTCGACGAGAACCCGGTCTGGGTCTGACAGCTTCCCCTGGACGTAGAGAGAGTTTGTCAAGGGCACGAGGACATCTCGTTTTGCTGGATTCATAGATTGCTGTCAGCAGCAGGCCGACGGCCGACGGACGCGAAACGAGACGACGCTCTTGGTCACTTGGGCAGGTGCAGTTGTGGTGGGTGACTTACACTCTGACGACGCAGCCTGCTCCTTGACGACACGCAGGCACTCACGGAACTTTCCCTGTGCGGCATGTAGCTGGGTAAAGGAACCTGTCAAGTGCTCGACCTCCTCGTCCAGCTGCTTCTTGACTGCGCTCAGCTGCTGTGCGCTGAGGCTGTCCAGATTTACTGATGTTGGTTGTGTCAGGTTAGCAAAGATGTAGCAAGTGCAAAGTTTATGACTGCCGACTCACTCTGTTGCCCTCCTGAAGCCATCGTGGGCGAGGGTGTACCAGTATTTGGCTTTTGTCTGAGAACCGGGGCACAAATAGCGACGGGGTGTTGAGCAGCGGCCTAGATGGTTTTCTGCAGGGAGGAGCAGCGTCTTGTCTCTCGAAAGCCCAAAAGTGGGGTGTATTATCTGGGCGAATATGGCTGGGCGCACTCGAGTGTGCCTGTTTCGGCAATCCTCCTGCTTTACGAGTTGGCTGCTGCCCCTCAGCGCTGGAATCCATCCCACTCTCCCACCCTGAACGGGTCGACCGACGTAGGAATTCGCGACACGGTGCAGAGCACTGTACCAAGAGATCCTGTGCGCACGGGCCAGTTACCTGCGACAATCGCTGGGACATGGATCTTAATTGAGATCATGACCAAATTGGCTACGACGCGTCGAGACGCGTTTTCTTGACGTTGGACCGGACAGGGCAGGCAACGAACGCCCAGGCCGACTGCCACCCAGAATTGACCAGGCATTTACCCAACGACCTTGCATCGCTCATTGTCCTAGCCTACCACTGTTCATTGCGCGAACCTGCTTGCCTAATCGCCTTGTATTCTCCCTGGCTTCGTCACATAGGAACCATTTGCTTGAGTTTCGGATTGTCACTGTTTGTTATCTTGCACAGGAGTTTCGGCCCATGGCCCGTTGGTAGCTGAGCCTCTCTTTCTCCCCCGTCGCAACCGCGGCCTTGCCTCGAACCCAGGCCAGTCGAGGCAACGAGTTTCAGGCCGCGCATAATGGCCGATGCCCTGCCTAAAGCGAAGCGAAATAAAAGGATTATCCCCGGCGTGCTTAGAGACGACTCGGACGACGAGCTCGGCGACGACGACCTGCCATGGGAATGGATCTATGACGGCGAAGGACCGGCCGGCGACAGCAATGGAACCACCTCGAACCCCTCGCTCCCACCCCCGGGCGAGCCGTCGCAGGATCCAGCGGCCAACGGTGCCGGCCGGCGCAAGAGGAAGCGAGCACCTGAAATACCAGAGCACAAGATTATCGGCGCCCGCATGGGCGAATTTGAGTGCAGACTCGGCGACACGGTCCTCCTGAAGGCCGAGGGGTCCAACGAGGCTTGGGTCGGCATAATATGCGACTTTGTCGAAGAGGATGGTGATGAGGGCGAGAAGGCTGCACACTTTATGTGGTTCTCTACCGCGAGGGAGATCCGCAACAAGGAGAAGAAGCTGACCGACACATACTGGGTGAGCATTCCGTGTCTTAACCAGACGTCGTGTGTGCGTTGAAGGGCGGCAGGCTAACTAGATTGACGACCACCAACTAGAACGAGCTCTATATCACACCCTCGTGGGACACGAACCCCTTGGCCGCCATCAATGGCAAGGCAACCGTCATGTCACAAGAGGCATTTCTCGCCAAGTACCCGAGCGGCAAGGTCCCGAGGAACTCGCGCGAGTTTGGCAAGGTGTTCGTATGTCGCCGCGGCTGCAACACGCGCACAGCCAGCTATACGAACGAGTTTGTGTGGGAAGACATATTTAGTGGCACCGCGCTGGACGTCTATAAACTCATTGAGCGTGTCAAGACGGAAACCAAGGCCACACGAGCGCGGCGCAAACCGAAAGAGCCTTCCGCTGACGTTTACGAGTTTTCCGCCGCCGGAGACGACGACGACGACGATGACGATGTAGCTAAGAAGCTTCAGCGGACACCTAAAAAGCGCAAAATGGCAAGCGCGACGACTCCCAGCAGGGCGCGTGGGGCCAGCAAGCCTGCTACTCCGTCTTCACATAGGAGGTGAGGCCCTGCCGCTGACGCAACGCCCCCGTGTATTTGAACAGGGCTAGAAACTGACGCATCCGTCTTTGATATAGGGTTGTGGTGAAGAAGCACCTAGAGTTCACGCCCTTGGCCATGAGGACACTGCCTCCAAGCCAGTTGCAGGGCTCTCCGTTTCAGATTGCGCGAACGCAGCTACACGTGGCCTCGGTGCCGACCAGCCTGCCATGCCGCGAGTCCGAGTTTAGCGAGGTGTACGCGCATCTCGAGGCGGCCATCACGGACGGGGCCGGCTCGTGTATCTACATCTCGGGCACCCCTGGCACGGGAAAGACGGCGACGGTGCGCGAGGTGGTGTCGCGGCTGGACGAGGCGGTCCGCCACGACGAGCTAGACGATTTCATCTTTGTTGAGATCAACGGCATGAAGGTCTCGGACCCGCACCAGGCCTACTCGCTGCTCTGGGAGGCTCTCAGGGGCCAGCGCGTCAGCCCGGCGCAGGCGCTGGACCTGCTGGAGCGCGAGTTCAGCAACCCCAGCCCGCGTCGTGTGCCCTGCGTCGTGCTGATGGACGAGCTGGATCAGCTCGTCACCAAGAACCAAGGCGTCATGTACAACTTTTTCAACTGGCCCGGCCTGAGACACAGTCGACTCATTGTCCTGGCGGTGGCGAACACGATGGATCTTCCAGAGCGAACTCTCAGTAACAAGATCAGCAGCAGACTTGGTAGGTTTCTTTTGAGAGTTATATTTATGTCATGGATGCTTGAAATTTCTTCCAGCCAGTACTGACCACCACACTCTAGGCCTTACCCGTATCACGTTCCCAGGATACACCCACGAGCAACTCATGAAGATCATCCAATCAAGACTAGAGGGCGTTCCCGGAAACATTGTGGAGGCGGACGCCGTCCAATTTGCCAGCCGAAAGGTGGCGGCCGTGAGCGGTGACGCCCGACGCGCACTCGACATCTGCAGACGGGCCGTCGAGCTCGCCGAGGCCGAAAGCCGCAGCCTAACGGGCGTGTCGGAAGCCCCAGACACTCCTAGCAAGAAGCGGCAGCAGCAGCAGCAACAGCCAAAGCAGCAGGACAACGCGGCGGCGGCGGCCAAGAAGAAGCGCAACGCCGGGCGCGTCACCATCGAGACGATCCGGCGGGCCATCGCCGAGGCCACGACGAGCCCGCTGCAACAATACCTGCGGGCGCTCCCCTTCGCGTCGAGGCTGCTCCTCGCCGCGCTGCTGATGCGCGTGACGCGCACGGGGCTGGCCGAGAGCACGTACGGCGACGTGCTCGAGGAGATGCAGCGGGCCGTCAAGTTCGCCGCGGGCGGGAGCAGGCAGGTCGAGCTGCTCGGGCGCCGCAGGGTCAACGCCGCCGGCCAGTACGTGGCCACCGCCGCCGCCGACGACGACGGGTCGGCGGCGGCGGCGGCCTTGTCTCTGGACGCATCAGTGGCGTGGACGCCGAGCGGGGCCGCGGCCAAGAAGAAGCGCGACCAGCACGGCGCCGGCCGCCTCGCCGGGCTCGGATCCGCCGCCGTCGAGCTCACGGGCGCCGGCATCGTCAACCTCGAGGCGCAGAGGCCCGAGCGGCCCAGCAAGATCCGGCTCGCGGTCGGCGACGAGGAGGTCAGGCTTGCCTTTCGGGACGACCCGGAGATCAAGGCTCTCGGCCTTGTCCTGTGAGCCTAGGGAGCTCTTTTGTGTACCACTCGACAAGCATGGGGGTTTTTTTTGTATGATTGTAGCATACGGTGGTATCCTTCATGTACGGTTGAAAGAAACCAAACGAGTAGATGGTGTTTTTGTTGTTCTTATAGATGTTCCCTTTTTTTTTTTTAAATAACACCCCAAATGGGGGCTGCAAACGGCCTTTTGCTGTATATCGGCTTTCTCTCTTGATACCAAAGGCCGCTAGACTGTTGGCTGACGAGAGGGAAATCTAATAACATGGTCTGATTATTGTTACATAAACTATACTCAGGCGACCCAACGAAACACGCCTTCAAACGTCGTCTAGAATTTCCGGTGGCTCAACGTAGGCTTCCAGTCGAGCGGGTGCGTCTCCTCGGTGGCGTCCTTGTCCTCCTTCCAGACCTTTATGGTCTTGTCGGCCTCGCCGCAGATGAGGCGGGTGCCCGTGACGTCAAAGACGGAGCTCATAATGCCCGACTCGGCGTCGAGCGACCCGGGCTGGGCGATGGTGTCGAGGGCCTGGAAGCGGTGGCCCGACTTCCAGTCCCAGAAGCTCATGGAGCCGTTGTCGGCGCCCGAGAAGAGCACGTTGTCGTGGTTGACGGACAGGGTGTTGATGATGGCGCGGTGGCCCTCAAAGTTCTGCATGAAGGCGCCCTCGGGGCACTTCCACTGCTTGATGGAGCCGGCGCTGCCCGAGGCGAAGGTGAACTCGGCCGGGTGGGTGGCCAGGGCGCGCACGCCCTTCTTGTGGTGGGTCAGGACGCCCGAGGTCTTGCCGGCGGCCAGGTCCCACATGCGCACCGTCGAGTCGAGGCTGCCCGTGATGACCTGGGGGTCCGACTCCTGGCAGACGAGGTCGGCGACGGTGCCCGTGTGGCCGCCGAGCACGTGCACGTTGCTGCGGGTGCGCATGTCCCAGACGCGGGCGACGCCGTCGCGGCCGCCCGTGACGAGCACGTCGAGCGTCGGGTGCAGCGCGAGCGCGTAGACGCCGCTCAGGTGGCCGTGGTAGTGGCGTATGACCTTGTTGGTCTCGAGGTCCCAGCACTTGACCATCTTGTCCTCGCCGCACGAGAAGAGGTAGGGGTGGCGCGGCGAGACGGCGAGCCCGCGCACCGTCGAGATGTGGCCCGTCAGCGTGAGCCGCAGCCGGCCCGTGGCCAGCTCCCAGATCTTGATGGTGCGGTCACCCGCCCCCGAGGCGAACCACTGGTTGTCGGGCTCCACCGCCAGCGCCCGCACCCAGCCCAGGTGGCCCGAGATGACGCGCATGAGCTTCCAGGGCCGGTGCCACTCGGGCTTGGGGTGCATGAGGAGGTCGTCGGGCCGCGCGAGCGCGAGCTGCTGCCCTATGGCCGGAGCGGGCTTCTGTTGTTGTTGTTGTTGTTGTCGCTGTGATGGCGACTGCTGCGCGCCCGCCGACCCGGGCCCGCGGCTCTGCAGCACCAGCGCCGTCGAATGCGGGCCCTTGCCGAGCTGTGGCCTCGCCGCCGCCGCCGCCGCCCTGCTCCCGCCGGCCGGGATGCTCTCGATCAGCTTCCGCGTCTTCTCGTCCTCGGGAGTGTCTGCCGCCGCCGCCGCTCCTCCACCTGTCCTCCTCGGCGGCGCAGCGGCCTTTTTCCTCCCGCCGGCGGCCGCCGCCTGCCTCGCCGCCAGCGCGGGCGGCAGCTCCCTCAGGTCGGCGTACTCGGCGTTGAAGCGCAGGGCCAGGGTGGTCTTGTCGAGGTCGCCTTCGGCACCGGCGGCGCTGGCGGGGGCGACGAGTCGTATGCGCTTGCGGCTGGCCGGGTCTGTGAACACCTCCCTTGTCTTCTTCGCGTTCTGCACGACGAGCGCCTCGAGCGCGGCGTCCACCGGGCCCAGGACCGACTCTTGGGCCATGCTTGCGGCAGGGACACACGCCCCGAGGGACGGCTGGGGGCCTGGGTGGGTTTGGGGTATTGATCTCCGAGCAGTAGGGTTTCGGATCGGGATGTCGGGGACCGGAAGGGGCACGGTGGGCGACAGGATCTGGATCGGGGGATTGGGAGATGAATGCTGGTGATGATGGTTGATGCAGCTGCCTCCATCGCGGAGCGGCGCGCTTCACAAGTGGGTCGCGATGCTAATTATTCACGGCCTGGATTTTCTAGTACCGTGTCAAATGCTAGCTTGTTCACTGTGTCCACTTTTATGAAAAGGTTGGACCAGGGCGGAGTCAAAAGTGTCTAAGCCCAATGCGATTACCTCGCTGCAAGCCTACCTCCGATAGCACACTTACACAGCACAACATCGGCTGTCATCAGCCGAGCATGAAAGAGCTCTGCCCTTGAAACTCACAGCTGCTGAGAATATAATCCCACCGGCGATTTTGATACTCACCCATCCATCGCATCAATATGGCGGAAGAGAACAAGTTTGCGCTGCACGCAGCCTGCCGAGAGGGGAAATGTAAGTCTCGAGTCCCAAAGCCATCTCGACCTCTCAGCTTGTCGTCACAAAGCGCGGCGGCCTGACCATGAGAAACAAACAAAAAAAACACCAAAAGACACCATAGTCGAGTCTCTTCTCAATGTACAGTCCAGGTCCAGTAAACCCACACTCGGGTTGTGATTACAGCTTGCCCACCGTTGACCCAGCGTGGTTATCTGATGCTTGCTCAACACACAGGCCGATCCCAAGGCGGCAGCTCGTAAGGACGACGACGGGAGACTCCCCATCCACTGGGCGGTCTCGTCAAATCAGCTCGAGGTAACGAACCTGTTGGTGGCTCAGAAGGGCTTTGATGCCGACGTCCAGGTGAGTAGGAGGCCGGCCATGTCACGGCAGCATGTGGAAAATACACAAACATGAAAATACCTAGAAGTACCTGCTGATAGCCGACTCCCCTGTCTTCTGCTTTCTAGGACGACAGCGGCTGGACACCCTTGATGATAGCCGTGAGCATCAAGGACGGAGACAAGCTGGTTGACCTCCTCCTCGGCAAGGGAGCCGACGTCAACGAGAAGAGTAAGGTCCACAAGCCAATAGCTTCCCCTTTTCTTCGCCTCGACTCTCCTGTTAACCAAGCCAACCAACCTTTACTAGACAACAGCGGCCAGGTCGGTTATACGCCCCCTTCCTTACCTTCTTTGTAAACCTTCTAGCCTAAACTGACTCATCTTCCCCCTTTATCCCCAACCCCCACAGACGGCCCTGCACTTCGCCGCCTCCAAGAACAACCTGGACGTAGCGCGCAAGCTACTAGACCAGACTCCCCCCGCGTCGGCCCGCGTCCGCGACCGCCGCGGCCAGTACGCCATCCACTGCGCCGCCGCCGTCGGCTCCACGCCCATGGTCAGCCTGCTCCTCACGACCGGGAAGAGCCCGCTCGACGCCACCGACAGCGCGGGGCAGACGGCGCTGCACCACGCCGTCGCAGAGGGCCACGGTAAGTCCTGGCACCCAAGCCTTCTCCTCCTCCTCCTCCTCCTCCTCCTCCTCCACCCCCGCGCGCTTTCATTCGTTCGAGGTTTCACCCTTGCGTGGTTGAGCTGCCCTCTAACGACCGGAACCCACTTTCTGTTGCGGCCGCCCCCGGACTCGCAGGCGACACAGCCGTGGCCCTCCTCAAAGCAGGGGCCAGCACGGACAAGAAGGACGTCGACGGGTGCTTGGCGCTGGACCTGGCCCCTGACAAGGCGGTGCGGAAATACATCGAGCAGGTGGCCGAGAGGGAGGGCATCGAGATGGGCACATCGTCCTAGGGGGCCCGGAGTGGGCTGCAAACAGACGAAAAACGCGAGAAATGTCTTGGTAGAAAAAGACAGTATAGCTCAATAATAAACAGGAGAAGAGAATAAAAGGAAGGGGAAGAATCAGGGGGCACATTATGGTGAAACAAAGACAAATAGATCGCAGGCCTTGGTGTCAAGGCCGAGGAGAGTGCCGCTCTATCCCACCCGCTATCTCCAGACATGCGCTCCCCCGAGGCGGGGCTTTCTGCTCCCGCCCTCACTTTAGTGTACTCTCTATCAGCTCCCTGTACATGGCCTTCACGTCCTGGACGTCCGCCTTGAGCTCCTCGACCATCTCGCTCTTCTCGCCGAGCATCTCGAGCGTCGTCTCGTACCTGGCGTTGACCTCGGCCACCTCGGCCTCGAGCTTGACCACGCGCTCGCGCGCCTCCTTGCCGGCTTCTATCTCCCGCATGAGCGCCACGATCTCGACCCGCGCCTCGTCGCGCTGCTTCGACATGCGCGCGAGCTCCTCGCGCCCAGCCACCCGCTCGCTCTCGAGCCGCCTCACCTGGGCGCTCATGCGCTCCACCAGCTGCACCGACGGGCCGGCCCCGACCGTGCTGACGGACACCATGTCCTGCACCACCTGGTGCGTTGATCCCGTCTCGACGCCGTCCATGTCTTCCTGGTCCATGGGGTGTGCCCCGGGAGCCGGTAGCGCCTCGATAGAAGCACTGAATGTCGACCCCGGGGTCAGATGGTAGCTACCCGCTGTGCTCGGCGCTATTGAAGGTCGATGGGACGGCTGCGCTGACGGGCGCCGGGCCATGCCCCTGTCGCCGGCACCGTCGCCGTTGCTGGACGGCGCCGAAGGCTTGCGCAACTTGCCCGAGAGGGTATGGAAGCCGAGCATGTCTGAGCTCCACGTCCGCACCGGCGGCAAGAGCAAAGGCGAGTCGGGCCGGCTGTTGCTCCGGAATGGCTGCTGCTGCGCCACGTCTTCTAACCACCCACGCCGATCGTCGGCTACACTCCGGTCGGCACTGCCAGTGCCCTGTCGCCGCTCATCCTTCCAGGACGCCTTTTGCTTGTCAAAGTCGGCTCTGGCTTCCTGCAGAGTCGCCTCGGCCTGCTCGGCGCGCTTCTTCAGCGCCTCCAGTTGCTTCTGGTACGACTCGATGTCCTGCTGAGCCGTGGGCAGCTTCGATCGAGCTTCCTCCAGCTCTTCTTCATTACGCTTTGCGCGGGTGGCCTACAGAAATGACGAATAATCTTATCAGTTCACCGCCAAGTCCTTGCATGAGAGCTGCTTGTTGAGCCCCAAAGGGGTAGAATGTGTGCCATGGTGGTGTCTGCCTTACCGCCTCTCGCGCCTTCTTTCTCATGTCAGACTCCCGCTGCTGGGCCTCGTCCCTCTCCTTCTCCAGATTTGATATTCTCCCGAGAAGAGTAGCTTCAATGCCCTGCCAGTTGTCGCTAGCAATAGCGTATTGGGTCTGCAGCGTCTCGACCTGCCTCAAGAGCTTCGCCTGGGAGTCGCCCAGGGCGCCTGAGCTAGTTTCCTCGGCACGGGTGCGCATTGCCTCCAGCTTGCTCTCCATAGCCTGCGCCTCGGCCTTGAGCTCGGCCTCAACCACACGCGCTCGCTCCGTGGCCCGCTCTGCCTTCTCTTTGAGCTCGCTGGCTTGCGCCCTGGCCCGATCGGCCGCCAGGTCCTTCTCCACTTTTAGCGTCGCAACCTCGTCCTCAAGCTCCTTGACTCGTCGCCGCTCCTTTTCGAGTGCCTCCTGATTTGCCCTGGCGTTTAGAGACTCAGCGTTCTCATTTGCTTGTTGTAGTTGGGCCCTCAGGTCTGCTATGGTCGAATCCTTGGACGACGACTCGGTGCGGAGGCTGTTGATATCCTTCTGCAGTTGTCCTATCCTCTTCAGGGACTCCTCGTGGAACTTTTCAAGGTCTTTCGCCCGACGCCCCAGTCTTCGCTGCGCCTCGGCTTCGGCGTCGGCCTTTGCTACAGAAGCCTTGAGGTTGTTGATTTCCTTTTCATCCTCGGTGACCTTGATGCGCAACTTCTTCATGATTGTCCGGTGCTTTTGTTCCGTCACCCCAAGAGCCTTGCCCTCTTCCATCAGAAGAGCTATTTTGTGGTCCTTCTCAGCCAGCTTTTTCTCTAGGCTGCCCGATGGTGCTGTCTGCGCCGCCTTCTTGGCAGCGTCTGCAGCCTCACGGGCGAGATACTGCAGTTTTGCCTGAAGTGCATCTATCTTTTCGACGTAGTGATGGATCTCCTCTTGGTGCTGTTTTTGCACATCATCAGATTCCATGTCTGACTGCTTTTCGAGACTAGCCAGGGCCTCGGATTCTGCTGCTGACAGTGCTTCTGTGACAGGCACATCGGAAGCGATGGCTATCGCCGGCACAGGCGTTGTGGTTCGCTCCAAGTCAGCCGACTTCCTTGGCGCATCGCATGTGGTCTCCTGCCCAACAACTTCCTCCTCCTTTGCCGCCGCAGCTGGAACTGCCTGTGCCTGTGACTCGAGTGCGGGGTCGGCTTCGGTAGTATCGAGGGAGGTGCGGTTGGGCGTGTCTTGCGAGGTTCGCCGTGATGCCGGTTCTTGAGGCGACTTTCCAACCGACTCTCCGCCGTCCATCGAGCCGCGGTTGGGGACATCGAGACTTTGGCGCGGGCTCGAAGTAAACGAATTCCTCGAAGGCGAGGGCTCGGGCCTGGATCCGGCCGAAGCGTTTTTGGCCGCGATGGCTCTCGCAAGCCGCTCCTGGAGTCGGTCTTGTGTCCGGTTTGTCGATCCTGATCGTGAAAGGGCTGGCGGAATCGCATGGCAGACATCGGTCAGCGACGGGAGCTCGTACAAGCAGCACGGGGCAGGCAAAGGAGGAGGGAGCCCTACATGGACTGGATTTAGCCGAGGCCGGGGTGGGGGTCGGCGCGGTGGTCGACGAGGTAGCCGCGGCGGCCGTAGCGCCTGCGGTGCCAGACGTCGCTTGGGCCTGGCTTGCCTTGGCCTTTTCCTCCTCATCAGCCAGAATGGTGTCAAGGCGTGCCTCGAGCCCGGTGACGGCCTGCTGGAACAAAGAGCCCCATCGTGCAGCCATGGCTCCCTAGCTGCAGAAAACGGGTCGATTCGGGGGTGGTGCGGCCATCAACCAGATGGCATGGGTAGCGCGACGGTAGCAGCTGGGGTGAACGCAGAGGGGAACAGAGGCGGGACGAGAAGTTGGCGTCAAGGGCTGCGGCGGATCTGGCGTTCATACATGATGCATGTGCTGGATAAGGTTGAGGCCACGGGGCAGCGAGCGCCGTTCTGGGTCGGGAGGGTTTGGCGACCTGACTGGCAGGTCTGGCTCGACCCAGACACAGGCACAGACACAGACACAGGCAGATGAGGTGTAAGAATGCCTGTGTGCTTCCCCTTGTATTGGTGTGACCGTGACCCGTGGACGGTCGAGGGCTGAGGGCTGAGAGCCTGGGATGGAGGATGCCAGGGTGGACTGCGCTGGACAGAGGTTCACCAGGGCCCACTTTTTTTGTCTCGTCGCGATGCGCCCTTTTGCCTTTTGGTGCCTGCCACAGTATAGCTCGATAGGGTGATTTGGGACGCCGAGTCTTCTCGGAGAAATCAATGCATCCAACAAACACTACCGGAATCACAATTGGGCCTAAAAGGATGGAGAGTGCCGCTTCAGCGACACCAGCGTCTTGATCGGCTGGTGTTGGTTTAAATGGGTGGGCCGAGGCGCCAGCCCTCGTGTGGCTATCCACATCGTTTTGTATTTGTACTTTGGTCGATACGGGGCTGAGGCTGACGACAACCAAGACATGTCCATCCATGAACGTGCACGGAATCGATTCCCGTCTGCCTGGCATGGCCTTCTGTTTGAGCTCTTGCTTTCCCCCATTGCCAATGCGACCTTGCGCCCGCTGGCCTTTGGCTGTTTTGTGTTTTGGGTTGTCTGCTATTTTGGGTCTGCTTTAAGCCACTAACATGTGATACAGTCTCGAACTGTATTTAAGGTTGGGAAAACCTTTCCGTTCCTGGCAAACGGCAGCACTCGTGTTGTTCTGAGCCCACCTACCCCAAGCTGTCTCGTGTCGGTAGCATCATTGGGCCGCACACGCTAGGTCTTGTCTCCTGGAGGAGAGTGGTATGTAGCATGGGTGCGACATGGTGAACCCATCATGAACTGTAGTCTATGTAACGGCCTGTAGAGTTTATTCCATGGTATGGAACTTAGGCGGCTAGTGCAGATGTTCCTGCGTAGGCGTGGGGTTTACATACCCGCGCCATCTAATAATAAAACTAACCAACGGCGGGAAGCGGGCCCCCACGCAATCAAAGAGAGGCCGACGGAGCATATGTTCGCAAAGTTTTGAGGGCAACTAGCTGTTGGTTGAGACATAATTGAACATTGAATTTATGAGGGCTTTTTTTTTCATTTTTTTTTTTTCAGGTCCAGTCAGCACCCTGCCGCAGTCCCCGCAATGCACGTTGTTGGAGAGCCCCAGCCGCTGCTGGCTCCGCCCCACGGATCAATTGGAAGGCGCTGGGATTCTAATCGGGGGTCAATGTTGGCTAGCACAGACTTGGCCGGGCTGGCCTTGCTCCCGTTTCCGTGGCCTGCGCGTCACTGTGCGTTGTGCGTGCCTCGGTTGTCGAGACGTGCTTCTTCCTTTTCTTCTTTTCTTTTCCCTCCAGCCTCCAGCCAGCATCTTTCCTTTCTTCTTTTCTCCTCGACCCACAGCTGGCCGCTGGACATCAGACGCTAATCCTAACCGCCAAGTCCTGGTCCAGGCTATGACGCGCTTGTGTTCGTAAGCCGGATCCTGTTGACTTCTTGTTCCAACCAGAGCCGGCCTTTTTACATAAGCTGCATCGTTACGGCCTTCGCCAGCTCGCTGTCCATAATCGACCACCCTCTCCGTGATCTAAATTCGCACTCATTACTTGACACTGCCGTTGGCCGATACCACATTGCCGTTTTGGGGCAGTTGCAAGGTTGCAAACGACCCCAGACGCAGCACACAAGCTCTGGCCGGCTGTTCCGATTTGGACAACCAGCTGCCGAACAGGGTGATGTTTTAATATACTGCAGCCAATCACCGTCTCTTATAATCGGGACCGCCCTTGAGGGCATCCTGAAGCTCCCTGTCAGCCTCATCTCCACGCCGAGACAAGACAGTTAGTCCGCAAGGGCCTGGAGCGGATCCTGGCACTTTCTTGACTGCTCGGGCTAGCAGAAGGGTATCAACGCACCCAAACACCTTTACGTGGACAGGAAACGGGTATCTGGTCCGACACCTCTACATCCGTCGAAATGTACGAGGCAGGGTTTCTGTACGGGATCCCGCACCGCTTCCCGTACCGAGAAGCCCGCGATGGCTACTGGGGCGAGCAAACGTCCACCCTGAACTGGTGCGAGGAGGTAAGATGATTGCTTCGGTTTCTGAGATGGCTGGGCCAGCGGCAGCCAGAAACACAAGATGTCCCCTACATCGTCTGACACGGCTTGTGCGCCTGCTTCTCTACAGGACTACAATTTTACTCACTACATCGCTGTAAGTACCTACACTCCTCATATCTCCATCCACGCTCTTTTTTATGACGGGGACTCTAACTGTGACCTATAGGAGTTCGTCAACACGTTTAGCAACCTGATCTTCATGTGGTTGGGCGCAAAGGGTATCTGGAACTGTGTCACGTATGGTCACTCCCGTGTCCTCACTTTCGGCTTTATTGGCTACATCATAGTTGGCCTGGGGTCCATGGCCTTTCACGCCACTTTGAAATGTCAGTCAACATTAATTGGGCCCTGGCGTACGCCTGCCTCCGTTGTCAAGCCCCAGACAGACTAACCCGCCACTCTGCCCCTTGTAGACTCGATGCAGCTCGCCGATGAGCTGCCCATGATTTATACGACATGTATAATGGGGTTTGCTACCTTTGCCTATGGCAAGGGGCGGATGTTCCGATTATGGCTTGGCTCGGCCCTGGCCGGCCTCGCCGCCTTTATCACCGTAAGCCGCCCCATGCACCCGATTTGACATTCTCGTGAGTCCAGGCTAAGCAGCAGCCAGATATACTATCATATCACCAAAAACCCTGTCTTCCACCAGGTTGCCTACGCCAGCTTGATGATAGCCCTCGTAGTCAGGGGTTACTTCGTGACAAAGGGGGAGATGGAGCCGGCGCTTCGCCGGAGGAGTCCCTTGAAGGCCGACAAGATCATGGGACAGATGAATGCTCTTGTACTCACGGGCGTCTCGCTGTTTCTGATTGGTTTCGCCCTCTGGAACTTGGACAACATCTACTGCCACCATCTCATATCGTGGAGGTCGCGGATTCTACTCCCTTGGTCCATCGTCCTGGAAGGCCATAGCTGGTGGCATTTGTTCACAGGCCTAGGTGGTATGTACATTGCTCACCTGGTTCGCTGTCGTGTCAAATGGTGTCTGGCTAACGCAATTCTGTTTTGCAGCTTACAACCTCATCGTCTGGAGAATTCTGCTCGAAACCTGCCTGAACGGAAAGGAGAACGACTTTATGCTGCAGCGCACGACGTTTCTCGCTGTGCCCGAGGTTGTTCCCGTATCGGAACAAGCCGGTATTGCTAACAAGAAGAGGGTATAACTGGGAGGGAATCCTTGAGGGGCGGGCGTAGATGTCAAATTCGATATTAACTTGGGAAGCATCTGCGTGGTGAGCTGCTATCTCGAGAGCTGGAGGGAGGGTGGGCCAAGGACAAGGAGCATGGAGTGTGGTAACAAATCTAGGTTGAATCTGCTGCCCAGTCAAATTATGTTTATGAGGAGGCTGGTTGCACATTGTCCCTTTCGAAACTGGCTCAGGGAATTCCTTGCCTACTTTTGCTGTACAGAGTAACGGTGGCTGGATGCATGCACGGATATTTGCTGGGATGGTAGCGCGGGTAGGGTGGTGGTGGTGGTGGTCGGGCCAAAATAGCATCCCACAGAGAGGAACAGTAATCAGCAATGCGGGGCTGTTTTGGGAATTTTGAGCTTGCCATCAGCACGCCCCACGACGACGCAAGTAACAAAGACGAGCGCTGGACAGCACCAACCCGGCCTGATACACTCACTCGGTTGCATCACTGCCCTCTTCGGATCCTGACTCCAGCCTTGAGCCTCGGGTCCAATCCTTCAGGCACGCGTGCTTTGCCACAGACCACTGGAGACTCCACAGGCAACACAAACGCACCTCCCAACGCGGGTCACGGCAAGATGTCGATATCAAATGAGGCTCTGCAAAAGGTCAGCCCAACCCCGGCTCCCAAAAATAGCAAAAAAGGAGCAGGCAATAGGCAATGAAAGAAGGAAGGGAGGCACAAAAGCTAGAAGCCACAGAAGCATTCCCACTCACCTGGCCCCTCCAAAAAAAAAAAATCCCCCTAGAGTTTCGCATTCTACCTGGGCCTGGTGCCGCCGGCTCGGACCGACTTATGGGATGCTCGCGTGCTAATGACAGGGAGCGCGGTCGCGTCTACATGCACAACAGTTGATCCAAGAGATTGAGCTCAAGTCGATCCAGGCGCAGCAGCAGATCACCATGGTCCGGAGCCAGCAGGCGGCCAGGCAGCGCGAGATGCGGCTCGCCCAGCTGACCCGGAGCGAGATCTCGTCGCTGCCAACCGGCACACCCGTTTACGAGGGGCTGGGCAAAATGTTGGTGCCCAAAT